TACTGCCATGAGCCACGACGATATTTACAACATCCTCCGCTGCACTGGCAACACGTGCTGAGGTTGGGGGCCCCCTCCCCCGACCCTCCTCGTTGTTTCCAAGTCTAATGTTGACAAGCCCCCAAACCCAGACCCACATTCCAGGGTTCGTTCTCTGTCTCACACCACGTGGCTACTGTGGCCTGCTGCTGGCCCACGATGAGAAGTCTCTGTTAGGTGGCAATGATTGCAGGTCCTGCGAGCCCACCCTGAGCTCAGGGGTCCTGAGTGGATTCTGCCCGGAGTCTGAGCGCTGACCCCTGACCCGCTGCGTGTTCTTCTCCCAGGCTCTCTCCCCGAGCCCACGCTGTCCTTGGTGTCCAAGGGTCTGAAGCTGACCCCAGGCAGCGACGTGGTCCTGAGGTGCCAGGGGTCCCTGACCAGCGCCACCTTCCTGCTGCTGCAGGAGAAGGCGCAGCGCCCCCTGCAGGTGGTGAACTCCACCGGAAGCAGCGTCGACTTCCGGATCCCAGAGTTCACAGCCCAGGATTCTGGAAAGTACAGGTGCCTGTACTTGAGGACCAGACATGGGAACTCGGGGTCCTGGCTGAGTAATGCCTTGGAGTTGCACGTGGCAGGTAAGACTCCTGGGTTAGGACAGAAAGGGGGTGAGTTTGGAGCTGGGACAAAGCAGAAGCAAGATTGGGGGCTGCGCCTTCACTTCAGGGGAGCTGTGGTGTGGGCGAGATTCAGGTGTGCCCAGCTCACATGCCTGTGTGTCACTGGCAGAGATCCTGGTGCTGGCCTGGCTGTGGTCAAGTTCAGGACAAGTGGCTTCATGTCCCTCAGCAGGCTTCACTTTACGGACCCGATGAAGTTTGAACCCACTCCTAATTAAAGCTGAGGCCAGGCTTGTCTATCAATCAGGCTTCGTGGAAGGCCATTTACAAGCCTTTCTTCTCGTGCCACTCGATGGGGTTCCACCACCACACCCCTCAATTCGTGGTCTTGCGAGTGCAGACTCCGCCCCTTCACTCATAACCCTCTCAAATTGAAAACAGATTATATAACTACCACAACGTTCTTACAGTGTCCTGCTTCAATTCATTAGGTCCTTAGTGATGGGAAGGTTTCCATGCTGAAGGTTTTTAGCGGCTAATTTCTTGAAAGTGGGTCCCAGATGTCTTCTTTCTCATCTCGTCTTAGTCTGGAAGCTCGGCAGAAACCGGGTCACTTTGGGTGACCCTGCTGGCCGTTGAATTCACAGTGACATAGCTTCCAGGATCACAGAAGCACACAAGCCACCACAGCAGGACAAACTGACAGCCAAGTGTTACTTTTGAATGAAAATGATTATTCGTCCAGAACTCAGTACTCTCCCACAGATCTTTCTGGAATGATGGAAATGTTCTACATCTGTGGTGTTAGGCTGGTTTGACTAGAAAAACAAATCCAGAGACACTCATTTTTGGGTTAGAGAAAGCTTTATAGCATACAGCAATTGTATGTTGAGAAATCATCCCAGCCCAGTCCAGATCAAGTCCATACGTCTAATAATAGCCAACATGTCTGATACTAGTCCATCAATTCCTCTTTAGACTCACACAGCACATTTAATGATGCCGAATGCAGGAAGATCACAGGCTGGTGGGTGAAAACACTTGTAGATCCAAGGCCATTGAAAGCATCTCATAGCTGCTGCCGGTCTCCCCATAGCTCCTCCATCGCTCTGATTATGACTGCTCAACAGGATGGAGAAACAGAGAGACAGAGAGGCCCATGTACAGGGAGAAAGAGAGGAGGTTCCCATAAGGCTCACACCCACTAGAGACATCATCAGACTGTGACCTGACTGACAAGCTCAACTCCACCCCGACACTACATCTCAAGTTAACATGAAATATGTAAATACTGCATCTGTGTACATCAGTGCGGTTGACAGCAGACCTGTGTGGTTGTTAATCCTTGTCATGTGGGTGGCTGGTATGCTGAGCGACTGAATGTTGTATTCAGCACATAATTGTATTTGCACTATGTGATATCATTCTATGCAATGGTAATTTGATCATTTAAATGTGTGGTTATAGAATTTTTATTATGGAGTCACTTATGCAGTATTA